TGAGCACTGCCAACTCAACTAGATAAAAAAAACTGTATTGCCTCTACAGAAAGTCCATATTCTGACATTATTCAAAACAAGATCATTATCAACCTACCAACAATAGTTACTAAATCTTTTATTCAATGTAATTATAACTTCATCAAATGTATTCAAAATTTAATATTATCTCTTTTAATACTATTCCCCTTAACACCAAGTAGATATTTATAACTGCTTGGTACCATATGGCAGGATATATTGTTTTAAACTTTCTTTTCAATATTAGTTGTACCATTACTGTAGGCAAGCTAGCATTTAACTCATTATACCAACATATGAAAGATGTTGTTTCTTTCATGATGTATATTTTGTTATATACAAATTAAATAATGAAATAATGTTTACCTACAAAAAAAAAAGTTAAGTTTTTTTTTATTATTTCAGAAAAACTTATTTGTTTATATAAAAATTAAAACTTATTTTTTTTAAGTTTATTAAAAGATTTTTGTTTAAGCTTTACTTATAAAATAACTTAATAAATTTTTTAAAAAATATACTTGTTTGTAACAGTTAAAAAAAAAGTTTTTTTAGATTTTATATATCATCTAAAATTTTAAAGATAAATATTTTTTAATAAAATTTATATCATTTTATTCAAAAGTTTTAAATATATTTGAATAAAATATTATGATTTTTTATTTAATTATAAGATAAAATACAAAGTTAAAAAAATTCCAAAAATATATGACTCATACTATATACAGTCAAACCTGAATATAATGAAGCCTTTGGGCTAATTAATAAAAATTGAAAAAAATTGTTTAAAAATTCATTATAAAGAATTTTTAAAAATTTATATAATAAAATTCTCTTTTTATAATGAATTTTGAGTAAATTCAAAATTCAAAAATTCATTATAACCAGCATTTTATTATAGCTTCATTATAAACAGGTTTGTTATATCCAGGTTTGACTGTATCTTGTTTTAATAATTCTAAAATAATCATTTATTTGACAATTATTTATGATTTGCAAAAATGATAAAAACAATTGATTTTTTTAATTAATTAATATTATATATATATTTTTAAATCCCACAATCAGGTTGGTGTCGTTTATTTATTCAATCATAAAAAACTATTACAAGTTGAGAATGCTTGCAAAGTATAAATTTCCTTGATCCAACTTACTCATTGACAGTCAAAGCCTCTAGATGCGATTTATACATTGCTAACCTGATAATTAGGATTAATATCTAGTTATGCTATGAGGATTACAGCCAGCAGATCACTTCTACAGTTATGACTATACATGTGGCATAAATTATTTTGCTGTTGACTCAATTCCCAAAATCCTCAAAAATAATTGCGTCATGACTCAATTATTTATGTTTTAATAGTAACTCAATTAATTGCGTCAAATAATTGCGTCAATTGCGTCAAGGATCTATGAATTTCAGCAACATGTATAGTTATGACTATACATGTGTTTATATTTAATTCAAGCATTTTTCAAAAACTGTATTATGTTCGTATTACTAAGTAACAATTAGTAAGTAATTGAGAATTGTATTGTCGATCAAATTTTCTTTTATAGTAATAAGGAAACATGTATAGTTATGATCATAAACACAAATTGTGTCACCTCTCTTTTGTAGTAACTACACAAGGAGAAAAAGAAATAAAGAAAAAGAAAAAAAGCCATCATCTATTCTAACTATTATTGAAGAGGTTGTTTCTGTGAACTACAAAACCCAAGCCCTTCATGATTCCTCACTTCTCACCACCTGTGGCCAGTCAGACTGTAACAAATCTATAGATGTCTGGAAAAAATCCCGATTTTTTTTGAAAAGTCAGATAACAATCTCTCAAATGATTTTAAGAGACTATAGATATTTTGATGAGAGAAATATCTTTTATTAATGGTCAAAAAAACATTGTCAACACCGATTTCTTAATAATCAAGGATTTAAACTTCTGACCAAAGAACACTAATGATTAGACTAAAACACATATCCGAAGTCACATGACATCCGCCAATCCCGAAGCTTTGGAGTGACGCAAAACTCGAAACTTATAGTAATTATTAATTCAACATGATTTTACTAATTAACATGTGTTATCAATTAGTAATTGATATCAAGGGGTTATAGGATATTATTAATGTGTTTAATTAACATTAACATTCATTTATTTTCTTATTTTATTTTCTTTTTCTTTATTAATTCATATGATCTTCTGGAAGAACCATGTATTTTATTCTTTATGTATTTTATTCTATTTATTTATATTGGAAAAACATGTATTTAAAGGTTGTGTTTTTCCTTAATAATGATAAACTATTAATAACCAACATATTCTTTTATTTAAACCATTACACAGACAGTTTAATTTCCTTTGGAATAGTCGATGTCCAAGAATGTCTAAAAGTACTTTCAAAAATGTATTTCTTGAAACTTTATGCTTGAAAACTTCTAACCAGAAAGAATATTGATTTTCTATTGTTTATTTCTCTCCCAAGCCATATTTTTTGAAATTATTGCTTCACTCAACCAGTGGATAGTTTCAAGATTTCTTTTTTCAACCATTTTTGGGATAAATATAGATACTTCAACTTGTTACCAAATTGGGATAGGACTTGGATCTTGTTGCTACTTCCTGTCCTCAAAAAAGAATAGGGAAGAAAAAAGAAAATAAAAATATGTAAACAAAAAAGGTATCGCTTCTCTTTTACACACAACTTCAACTTCACCTAATACTTTCATACTACTTCTTCAACCAAAAACCATCCAACTCTTTCAGGAACCAATCACATTGTTGGCTTAGTATTGCATAACTGGGAACACGTGAGGAGTATATGCCTTGTTTACTTTTTTTGTGGCTGACGTGATCAACCAATCCGCGACTTGACCAATCATCTTTCAGGAAATTTAGTATGACCAAAAATTCAAGGTCAAACTGAGGTAGGCAAAATTCTTCAGAAAAACCAGAAAAAAGAAAGCACACTTGAGAAAAAAGAAGTAGGAAGTTAAGGAGATGATAGGGAAATAGAAAACTTCTTTATTCTTGTTTCTCTGAATTCTTGAATCTCTTGAAAGCCTTTGGAAAGTGTTTTTTCCTATCAGTTTTCTTCCTGTAAAGGTGTAGGTTTCTTGTATTTAGTCACAAAAATAAACAAGAAAAGTGTTTTGAAAAGAAAAATAAAACAAGTGGTAGCTTCTACTCACTCTGCTAGTTAAAAGAAACTAGTGTTGTTAAAGAGAATATATGGACTTTATTATTATAAAGACATAAAATCTTTTAAGAACATCTGTTTTTTGGATTGGCAAAAGGATCAGCGGAAAGAATTACTATTATACTTGAATACTTATATTTATATAAATTAACAAATATAAATATTATATATATATATATATATTCTAACAATTCTATTTAGAATCGAATTTAAATAATTTGATTGATTTGATTTGATTTGATTCTTTTATTTAATAAATTGAATAAAATTTTGATTTGATTTCATTAGATTCGATTTTATTCAATTCAATTCTATTCGATTCTATTTTATTTTATTTGATTCAATTAATTTAAAATATAAAATATATTGTTATAGGATAGATGATAAGAAATTATAAGGGTAAGTATATCAGATATAAATGGTATATTAGGTATAAGTAGTATATCAAGTATAATAGATATAATAGATATAAAGTAAAAATATATATAAGTAATATGAGAATAGTCAAAAAGTAGGAAGAACCAAAATAGATATTGCACAACTATTAAATAAAAACTATTTTTATTTGATAAACTATTGTCTTGTGACTGACTCTAGTGTCATGTAGCTAATGGAATTGCTGTGCATGAAGTAATCAGTTAGGATGCAAGATTGATGGACTGATCTGTGTTAGCATTACAAATTCTGACCAAATTTACATGTTTCTTCAAGTAGAAACCACTTTAATCATTACACAGCATAAGACAGATGAAGTGACTGACTTGCCATGATTTTATCACAACAATATATATATTTTAAAATAAACGTATTACAATATACAATTTTATTAATATATAATATCTAGTTAAATATCAAGTATTTTCTATATATAGAGTATATACAGTATAAAACTTTAATTATATCTAATATCTTTTATACAATGAACCTGGATATAATGAAGTGATTCGTTTCATCATTTTTCTTTGTTATAACAGGCTTTTGTTATATCCAGGTTTTCTCTTTATAAGGAAGTTCTATATAATTTTTGATATACCTCTATTATAAAAGAGTAATGATTCAAACACAATAACACTTATTACCCCAATAAAAATTTAGCAATAACTAATTAAAAATAATTATTATATTTGAGTTATTCAAGATGAACCCATGCAAAACTTATGATCAGATTTTTTTTTTTTAAAAAAAGTGTTAGTTACTGTATTGATTCACATGATGATAGAAGTAATTCAGATAAAGTTTCTTAAACTTACTTTCATCCACAAGATGTGTTGCAGGAATTAGTAAAGTTTTTGTTAACCTCATGAACCAGAATGCAAAGATTAAGCTTGCTGATTCAAGAGAAAAAGAGAAGATTTGTATTTGTGATTAGAGTTATATGAAAGGGTTTGAACGATAAAAAATTAAGACAAGTATCTAATTACCTGAAGATACATATTATGGACTAGTACGAAGTCAGCTGAAATTGCCTCAGTTATTGAAACAATAAGAGCAAACATAAGAAAAGCTTTGTGCCAAGTTTTCTCTAATTCTTTGTGATACCCAAGCAAAAATGATAATGGCAATCAAAGTTAGAGATACTAAAACAAGAAAAGAATAAGGTGGCAACATATGCTTGTAGAATTCAGGACCTAATGAGAAGAATTGACCCTATAACAGTGAACCTAAAAGAGATAAGGTAAAAGCATTTGTAGGAGGATTGAGAAAGAGGACTGCAACAGTACTCATTAGAGGAAAAGATGTCATGTTAAATGAAGCAATAAAGGATGTTAGTTGAATCAAGGAGAATGAAAGGTTTAAAGTGATTAAAGGAAGTAGGGAACAAGGAAAACCAAAAAAGACACAAAGGTTAATAAACAAGATCCAAGAATTAAATAAACAAATCAAAAAAATCTAGTATTTTGAAACCATAGAAGAAAGCAGAGTGAAGGGCAAAGGCAAGAGGGATTTAAAGCAGGAGCAAATGATTCATTATAAGGCAAACCTAAGGAAAACAAAAGGTGGAGATAACATAGGGCTGACGATAGTCAAGACCAAAATTTGCAAAACAAAATCTGGGAAGGATGAAAACAATGACATACTTTTAAACATTGAAAACATATAAATGCCATTCTTTGACTTTGATAATGGAAAGCAAGGTGCGAATGGTAAAATAACAAAGAATAATAAAAGAACCAACAAAGTCCAAGCTGAGCTGAACTCAGGGCCTACTAATAAAAACAATGAATCAGGATGTGATAAAAGAATATAGTTCCGAAAATTGGAATCAAATAGAATCAAATAGAATCGCATGAGGTTCAGAACACTATTAAAAATAATAGTGGGGTATATCCCACCTATTAAATTTAATATAAACTTGAAAATCGAATACAGAATCGAAGAGAATCGTTAGGATCCTTATAAAAGAACCAGAACCAGAAATCTTGACAACAAATACCAGTTATACTGAGTCTCAATACATATCTATGTTAAACAAAAGGGAGTCAACCTTGGTTGATATAAAATGAGAAAGTGAGGATAAGAGAAGAATAGTGTAGTGTACAGTCCAGAACATCTAAGTGTATTACAAACCTATAAGTTCATATAAATTCAACTTTAATCTTAATATTTCAACAAAACTGTTATTGCATCAAACTTTTATTATTTGGCAAGTTAAGGTATCATTCATTAATAAAATCTAAAAATCACTATATTAACTAAAATAATTATATATTATCAGCCATAGAATTAATAAAGAACTCAACCTATCAATCTGGACCTGGTAAATCAAATTAAACCACAGGTTTTACTCCTGGTACTGTAATGTTCTTCTGTCAATTTCTTAAGTTTCAATCTTGTAATGATACTCTCTCTGAATCCAAATACTTTAGTTTTTCATAAGGCATCAAACAAGTCTATGGTTCCGAAAATTGGAATTGAATAGAATCAAACAGAATCACATGAGGTTCAGAACACTATTAAAAATGATGGTGGGGATACCCCACCTATTTGAATCGAATACAGAATCGAAGAGAATGTTAGGATCCTTAAACAAGTTACTAAAAAATTAACATAATTCATAGTTAATATTATAATGTATCTGATTATCTTCGATCTTCAAATTTTTATTTTTAATTAATGAAAATAGAATTATGCATTCCCGCAAATCTTCAAATTTCTAAAAATTTCCTTTTTTGGTAATACTACAAAACACTCAAAAAAACACTCTCCAAAGAAAAACTCCACAATATCTTCTTGGAAATAAAGGAGGACAAACATAACAGGTATACTTTGGGTTCATAAGTATATTAACCCTTCTTTATTTTTTAACTTTAGAGACAGATACTTGTGATTTCTCACTGGGAAAGAAAAAAAAACAAAGAATACAATTCACAGTAAAATTAAAAAGAGAAAGTCAGCACTGCACTTCACAAGCTGCTAGCCAGTTGTGCACCTGGTTAAATACCTTCCTAGACACCAGCAGGACTTAGTATTGGCCAGATTACAACAGGCAACCTCGCACACCAACACAAAATCAGAAGGGTCCCAAGACTTTCTCATTACTTTAATTGAAAAGAAAAGCACAGATCTCAATATTCTTTGAAGATAAACAACACCTGTTACACAATCAGATTTTTGGTGGTGACAAAAACCAAAGACAGGTTACCCCTCCCAAAGATCAACAGTAACGCAAACACGTACTTTTCAGAACCAAACAATATCAATAACTGTCAAACAAACAAACACAGCAATCCAAAACACAACACGTGTACCCAACAGATTCAAAGTTTACCAAAGTTAACTCACCCCAAAGCAAGATCTGCAGTAGCACAAACACGCTATCATTACAAACAAAGCAACAAGACACAAACAGGGCTTACCAAAACGAGCAGATCACAAACAACTTGGCATAACACGTGTTAATTTCAATCCTATATACCAAAAAGGGACAACTACACCGCACAATAAGCTGTTTCAAGCAAATCAACATGCATTAAACAAACAACAAATTAAGCCAGCTCACACATGCCAACCCAGCAAAAGTCCAAAACAATGGCTGACTCCAATCCAATCCAAATAGAAAATCTAATAATAGAACACCTCAAAACGATTGAAGACAACCACAATGAAGGAGAACAAAGGTGGTTCCATACATTGATCAAAGATGGTGCAACAAATACAGCATCAGAACTGGCAGAATTAGGAGCAATAGTAAACATCACAATTATAGATGCAGTAGCGGCAAAACTTCTCAATGTCAATTCACATACAGCTGTAAAATGGATGTTGGCTAAAAAATACATCAAACAAATCTGGGCATTCAATCAATTAGACATGAACATATTAAACAGATACATGCTAGAAGACTCAAAACAAGTGTTCCAGATTGTGGATATCCTACATTCAGGCCAAGATTCACGATATGCACAAAACAAAGATCCAGAAATCACACTATCCACCGGACAACCTGAGACAAGAAACTACAACCACATCTATCAACATGAGTCAGTTGAAAGGAGTAAAGACAATATGTCAGAAAATTATATTAATCAAGAAGATGTAATAAAGCAGGCAAATGAAGAACAACAAATACTAGAAGTTATCATGAACGAACAGACCTCTGGAAACATAACCGAAGACCAGGAAATACATGTCCCAGAGATAGTTATGAAAAAGCAATTTCCTTTAGACGAAGATTCTGATATGCTAACACTTACTCCCGATCCACTAGAAGACATAAGAGCAAAGGAAGACTACGTAACAAGAAACAGAGTCTTCCATCCAACAAACCCTCACCATATTTGTATAAAAAGGACATATAAAGCAGGAACTCTAATAGCAAACACACCAGGAGAGAACCAGGAAGAACAGATTAAGTATCTTGCAAACATCTTCAAGCTTTCCGCCAACAAATACAATCTAATTCAATCATACTTCCACAATAGGAATGGATGGTATACAATTCACTTTCATCATGAAAAGGACAGATCAGTATACATTAGCAAATTCAAAAACAAAAAGGATTTCAAACTGATCACAATACAGGATCCAAATCTTAAGCAAGACAACAAAGCTAACAATAAAACAGAAGATATCAAACACAGCATGCTGAAAGGAAATAAAAGTCACAACAGTTCTAACTCATTCAATTTAACTAATAAACAAGGTAGAGTGCAACTTCGAATTAGATACAATCCCCTTTCCTAAACCAGCAGAGAAAAACAACTACAAGAAATAGCCAACATGCTCCAAGTGCCTATCGAACATGAGGGAATTCAAGTTCTGGCAATAGGAAAAAACAAATGGATAAGTCTTGGCTTCAACGAAACAACAGATACTTATAGATGTAAACAATAGCTATTGAAACATATACAACTACAAGACATAATTTTGAATATTACCAAGAATGTCAGTCCAGACGAAGAAGTACCATCAAAAAGCTCATCAGCTTTAGAAATTTCAAAAGCTTCAGAAACTACTGAACCAATACTGGACCAATACATACTCATGGATATTCCAGTATACACTTCACTCAAAAAAGTACGAGATGTCCTTAGTAAATATGGAAAAATCCAATCACTCAATATTACAAAGGGAAACAACAACTACA